CTTTAAAGCAACGCACTGCGCTAATAGGTTAAATATAGCTTTAAAAACCAATTATTATGTAGGGATAAAAGGAATCGGGCTTTAGATGGTTTTCAGTTTCGATTTTATACACCTTTTATATTTTTATTTTGAAACTGCTTTTTTAGTTAATATAAGTTTTTGGTAATATTAGACTTTTAATTTGAATCGAACCAAGGAGTAGACTTACGGAACTTCCTTAATATTGCAATAAGAGAATTTAATTTTCAAGAAATTATATTACAGGGAAGGAAATATCCCAGTCGTAAGAGACGAAAATGTCACTCAACCTCTAAAATCATACGATCAAGCTTAATTTGGTTGAGAATGTTAATATTTTGACCCCGAAAAATTGCAAAAAATTTACTACTCCTACAACAATGACAGTTACGGACGCGAAAACAATTTTAAATAAAATTTGTATCAACTCAACGGTGAAAATTTGATATCTTTTGGCCAGAGTGTCCTATCTACAAAAATCAAAACGCGGTTTGAAAGCACAACTTTTGTATCCAATTTTAAGTTTTATGTAAATTTATTAATTTTTTTATTTTATTTAATTTTATTTTAGTGTATTTTATTTATTCAAATATTTTAAAATCTTTTTCAAGTTCCGCTCCTATTGGAGATTGGAAATCATTCTAGCAATTATAATTTTGTTGGTTACGCGACTGAATAGTTCAATTGAACCATTCACGGAGATTGCGTAGCCCCGAGATTTTACATCTTTTTTCACCTCTCATGATGTGCCCCAAGTATTAGAATTTCATGATTTTTATGGAATTTAAAACTTCGCGTTGTTTTCCTAGTTGTTCGAGAACTTGTTCGTACGTCAGTAACATCACATTTCGAATGCTTCTAGGTTTTTAATGTCGGATTTTTTAAGTGTCCAAGCTTCAACCCCATAGAAAAGGGTAGAGAAAATATAACATCGAAGCATTTTTATCCGAAGCGATATATTGATATCGCGATTACAAAAAGTTTTCTCATTCTATTAAAAGTTGACCGTGTAATTTCAATGCGGCATCTTATTACTTTTGTCTGATCAGTATCTTCTGTGATCCATGCTAAAAGGTATTTGTACGAAGCTATTTGTTCAATTTCTGTATTATCTAGTACTAGCTTAACTTTGATGTTTTGTGCTTTTGTAAATACCATGAACTTGGTTTTCTTCAAATTTATTTTTAGTCCATAATCCAATATATATTTAGTTGTTTAGCAAGGTGTTGAAGTTCTTCTAGTGTTCCTGCCAGAAGGACGGTGTCGTCAGTATATCTTATGTCAATAGTGATAACTTTAGTTACTTTTCACTACTGGTAACGATTAGTTACTTTTTGTGTTAGGACTCGTTACTTTGTAACGGTTACTTTTATATAGTTACTTTTGTTAGAGTATTAGGTATATATATTAAAAAAAAAAATAGAAGTAAGCTCCTAACTATAAAATTTAAGATAAGGCATGATAGCCTGTTTCATGTATAAGAGGATTATAAACAAAAAGAGCAGAAATTTTTAATTATCAAAAAGTATATTCTAAATATAACAAATAAAATAATTAACAATAACAATGACAAAAAAAAATTTTAAAATGTACTTCACTTATTATAGGTTTTCATTGCAGTTTAAAAATAAAATAGTTTCAACATTTTTTGATTTCAAGCGGTTCCTTGGTTCTGTAATGACTTGGCCTGCCTTAGAAAATACACGCTCATATGGAACGGATGTAGCAAGCACTGACAAATATTTTTTTGCTAATACCGCAAGCCATGTATATATCTTTTCTCTTTCCTTCCACCAGAGCAGAGGATTTTGTTTTCTTTCTAAATTCGCCTCTTCTGAAAACATTTTTAGTTCAGCAATAGCCACTGCCGTTGGGCTTGTTACAGTGTTTGGAAGATTTGACCAAGTTGTCAAAATCTTGCCAAATGATGTCGTCAATTTCTGTACTTGACGTCTCCGTCAACGGTAACTGATGTGTATCATTGGAAGGCTCTGGGGCCGTATAGTCTTGTTGATTTTTTTTATTAACCCCACTAATTCTTCTTGAAGTCTCTCTTTAACCTTTTTCAAAGTCATCGTTATTGAATCCCTTAGTTTTAAATCTTGGATCCAGGAAAGAGGATTTTCCCATTATTGTATTATTTTCAGGGTTCCCAAAACGTGTAGTTATTGAGGCTAGCAATGAATGTATTAAATCTCTTCCTAATTGACTCGTAATCTGAACTCTTATTCGCTCTAAAGATGATATTACCCCCTTAATAATAAGAATTACTTTGGACAGAGTTATTTGTTTTTCGGAACTCATTTCTACAGTAACAACCTCAAATGGTTTTAATATTTTACAGAATTCCTGTAATAGTAACCATTCTTCTTCCATCGGTAAAGTTACTGGATTATGCAAAACAGCAACTGTGGCAGCTAATGGGTTACATAATTTAACTACCCTTTCTAACATATAATATGTTGAGTTCCATCTTGTTTGTACATCATTAATTAGTTTTAAAGGAGTAGCATTGGGATTCGTTTGAGATTGAGTTTCAAAAAATTTAGCGGTGGCTTGAGAACTCCTATGAAAATGTTCAACTATTTTTTAACTTATTTTTGCAGCTCCTCTATGTGCACCAATCCATTCCTAACGATCAGATTGATAGTGTGTGCAAAACAAGGAATATGCACCCAACCAGTTATTTTTACTGCCTCTATAATATTTGCCGCATTGTCGGTAGTTATTGCGTATACTTTGTCAGAAATGCTCCATTCATCTGCAACTCGCCGTAATTCACGAGCTATATTTTCAGCAGTATGCCTCCCATCATATTTAAAACATGACAGTAAACACCCATAATACTGATAATTAGTTGTTATAAAGTGTGCTGTAACAACTTCGAGAACTTTTCTTTCATATTTAGCTGGCATTAAAGATTTGCTAAATGTTGATCTGTGTGGTACGACATAAGACGGTTCAAGTTCATTTAAAAGTTTACGAAAACCCCGATCCTCGACAATTGAAAAAGGTTGGAGGTCGTTTACTATCATATTTAATATTAAATCGCTAATTTTTTGTTGACGTGATAATGAAATTGGTCGTGATACATATCCGTGCAGACTTGAGTGTTTTTGTTTTTTAGAAATTGAATTTTTTTCAACGCTTACAGGTCTTGTATGCTTCTCCTCTTCAGTGTACATAGACGGTGTTACTTTATTTTGTTCCAACCTTGAAGTTACAATTAATGTAGATGGACCTAAATTAAATATATATGTATGTATTAAATTAAATTGTACACGAAAAATAAAAATTACCTGCTTGCATTACTTCCATGTTCAAAGGATTAGTGCTGTCAGGATGACTGTTTCTTTTTTCGAGTGGTTCCTCTAGAACCATTGTTGGATGTTTATTTTTAAGATGTTTTCTTAAATTTGATACATTTCCGCCTTTATAAGAATATATACCGTTGCAAAAATTGCATTTCGCCTTATCATTAGAAGTGATAGCAAAGTGTATCCAGATAGCGCTTCTTTTTTGACTTAATAAATCCATAATTAGACAATTATTGTGTTAACTATTATCAAATAACTTTCACAACATTAACGGACCAGTATCATAAACAAAATCGCACCGAATGTCCGAATGAACATCAACGAACTCATCTGTCGATGGCCAAAGCGGGGGAAGTGCACTGTGCACTATGGGCGTGGTACCAGGTATATAATATATATATATATATATATATATATATATATATATATATATATATATATATATTATTATAGTAAAGTTATTTTAGTTACTTTGATTTGATTATAGTTTCCGTTCCGCTGACCTGACCGTTTAGTTACACACTGACTCAAGATATTATGTAACGAAACCATGAAGTAACTAGTAACGAGTCTTTTTTCAATATAGTCATCGTTACTTAGATATTCGAAAAGTAACTTGTTACTTTGTAACGATTACTTACTTTTTTCGCATTACTATCTTATGTTATTAAGTGGCTCACTGTTTATTATAAGCCCCGCACTGACTATGTATCTATATTGTGTGAATATGTATATTGTGTATATTACTGTATACCGCAAGGTTACTGCGGTAACTGCGTGTCGATTTTTCGAGTTACGCTAAATATGATTTCGAGCCCTTGCAAAAACAACATACAGAGTGATAAAAAAACTTTTGAACTATTCGACCCATTCTTTGCACTTTTAATTGCTTATAACTTCCCTTCAATAAGGGAAAACATTCTTTTAACTCGTTCAGTACTGAAAATGTCACAGAGGGAATAAGGTCATAGTGTAAGGCATATTCCAGTATTAGGGTTCGAAGAATACCGAAGAAAATAATATGTGTACAACGTTATCATCCTACCCGTTGAGTCTAAAAAACGGTATAATTATCTTATATATCTAGGTTTATTCGGATACTCTTCAATGACAATCAAACTATAAAAATGACTACATAAGTACATAACCTATCGATTATTTTAATGCCATTGCCAGTAACGAATTTTTAAATCTGATTATCAGATAAATTAATGCCTATGCTACTGAAATTCTTAGTGCAATGAAGAAAGAAATTAGTAGAAGTAGTCATTAAAGAGGTTAACAATCAAACAATTAAATTTTTTGAGGCTATTAATCCACATTGATAATTTAGATTATTTAGATTTAGATAATTTAGTGTATATAAATGTTAACAACTTTTGTAGTAGGGTATCTTATCTAGAATCTTTTCTAGAAAGAAAAACACCTGTTATTGGAAATCTAATAATAAATAGAAAAGATAATTTGTAGCCAATAAAAATAAGACATTTAAAACTTAAGACGTATAAATGTTGTACTGATAATCCGAAGTTTGTCATTAGGCATTGGTACATAAGTCCGCTATTACCAGATGCCACAATCGAACCTTAATTCGATAATTTTAATCGATATATTATAATATATTTTATATAAGGGCAACTTTCGACGATGAATAATTTTTCAAGATAATAGAATGAATTTCTTTAATTAAAAATTACAATATAGCATACTGCTCATATAATAAATCCTTAACTCTATAATAATCTTCAGATATACAGCCTTCTAGCATAATCTTTCCAGACTCCACCTAAAACAAAATATATACAAATATTAAAATTTAGTTTCATAAATTTATTGAAGAAACAGATATACAAGACCTAGCCAATTCGTTGAAATTATTTGACCTTTCTGAGTTATTAATTCCTTCTTTAAAATTCTTAAAGGCCAGGGAATTATACCATCTGAAAAAATTGTGCACATTTTTAGAGGCGTACCAAAAGACAAGGGTGCCAAGGGAGATTTAAAAAGTAAAATAAAAAAATGAATAAATAAAAAATAAAAAACAAAACAAATTGTACCAAGGTTTATTAAAATCGACCGACTAGAACCAGGGATTAATTTTCCCCGCCAGTTTTAAAAACGTAGTTTTTCTCAAAACTTTAATCCAGATAAGATACAAAAAAAATCTTTGAAAATGCGCCATTTTTTAGCATTCTAGACGGTAATAGTAGGTACCTCAAAAGAATTCAAAAGCAATATCGAAGAGACGACCAGGAGACTGGGCTGATAGACGTGAATGGAGACGGAACCGGAAGGCGCAGGACCCTAAAAACCTGACATTTTATAAAAATTATAAAAGTATTCGTCCTAGGATAAACAACATTAAAGCACATAAGATTTGAAAACTCTCCCAAGGTGTAGTAAAACCTTGATGTTGGTGGAAGGGTGGTCAAGTCCATCCTGGTCGTCCCATTGTAGGGCGGACATGACGGACAAGAAATGCTCACAAAGAGTTGCATGAGAGTTGGACGCAGCACACATTACCGAAAAACTATCTGATGGTATAATAGAACATCCTAGCTATCATGCGATGTCATACCCACCCATACTCACCATCTACTTCCTGATACTCAAAAGCCATACCCGAGGAATAAGAGCTCATCCAATACAAAAATCCAGTGCAAAAGCGCTGAAAATAGACTGATGTATATAAAGCAGGCGACAATGAGTCATCCTAGCGGTCATAAATGATGACCAAGACAAATAATCAATCCGAGGGGAATACGGTCTTAACAGGGTACTGGCGCACTGACTCTTTAGAGAAAATTAGGTACAACTATGGAAATAATAAATAATATGGATACGTATAATAAAGAAATGGTTTGGTAACACATAACAAATTTATAAAAAAAGTAGTATAAAAACTTCTCCAAGTATATAGTAGTATAAACTCTAAAGTATATTTATGTAAAAACATCCGTTTAAATTCCATTTAAATTAATATAAACGGGGTAAAATTTTGACTGAGAAAAATTATATTTGACAGGTCATTATATACTTCATAAAAATGGGCATAGAGTCACATAATGTATAGGTATATAACCTTAACATTACTTGTTAATTGTTAAACTAAACTTAAAATTGTTAAAATAATGACGATGAATATGGATTTAACTCTGCCATGGCCAGATGAGAAAGGAGGAAGGTGAATGTTTAATGATTGTGTCTTGGTGACAGTAGCCATACCAAGTGACTATTTTTAAATATCAAGCAATACTCGAGGTCAACACATGTTGATCCCACTAAAAAATCTTACCCTTGATAGAATGGATAAAGGTGAGTATCCAGCGCCACAAAACTGAAAACCTTTGGCTAAGATAGGGCACTCTAACGCCCTAACAGAAGGTTCCCTGCTTCTCTAGGTTGGGAGTTGGGCTTAGGGCAACCTTTCTAACTTGTAAAACCGATTGTTAGGACATTAAAATTTGAAGTTAAAAACGCTAGACAAAACTCGTGACGACGACATATGCAACGAAGTAAGAGTAATGATCTTAAAGTATTAGCAGGAAATTTCGTACTTTACGAACCTCAAAACATCCGCAACCTGGGCTGCATATGAGCACTGTATTAGCACGACAGGCCACTGTATATCCAATCCAAAAAGAAATTATGAGTACTAGTTATCACAGAAAAAGACATGGATTTGGGATACCCTTTGTAGTCAATAACAAAGTGAAGCACTTGGTGTTGGGGTGTAGGTTGAATCTTATTGGAATTTCACGTAATAATACACAAAAACAAATCACTTAAACTAAAACTGTATTGAAGTAAACAAATAGCACATTTAAAATATTTGTATACGATCAATGTAAGAATAGCGTCCTTGCCTTAATGATGTCGTTGCGACTCGAGTTGAGAGTGGACTGTTACTGCCTGTGTTTCCCTTCTCCTCTGGTCACCACCGGCATCCCCTCTCGAGGGGTGTAAAATGACTTGAGGTGTAATATACGGGGTTGCTCGAAAGTTTTAATATTTAAGTCTAAAGTTTTAACATATAAGTGGTTCTTCGAGCGGATTACCCAGTGATCATTTGGCTGTACATTCCATGTAAGCTGTATTTATTTTCGACGATTTTGCATTGCATTGTCCTACTCACACAGCAGCGGAAGAAGCAGGTATTATAATCTGTCACCAAGGTTAGTGCATAATTTCCTTACCTACCTTATCTTTTATGGTCGTTAAAAGGGTACATTTGTATTTGATGTAATTCAGTGGAAATATTTATTTTTAAAAGCAGGTATTTTAATCCTTTAGCACATTTAGAGATTTTAATATTTATTTTCATTTATACTTAATACATAGTAGCGTCCTTAAATTTATTTCAATTTTTTCATTTTACATTTATAAACTATTACAAGTTGAAATATTATCTTTTTTAGTTTTTTATTCACTCGCAAAGCATTTTTACACACATTACATAATTGATTTTAATTGTTTTTTGCATATACATACATATATTTTTATTTTTTGTGACTATGGCTGACATCGCTACAGCAAAAACTAAACGCTCTGCAATCAAAGGTTCTGTAACTCGTTTTAGTACGTATTTTAATTCTATCAAAAACAAACCTTTAGAACAAATTAACTTTAGGGATTTACAACTTAGACTTGATAGAATTGAGAAACTTTTTGACGATTTTGACAACGCTCAATCACTTATTGAGGCCTCTGATGAGGACTATACTGCCAACGCAGATACTATCCATGGTATAGAAAGGTCGTCTTTCGAAACGCCGTTTTTCTATATTACTAGCGCTGTGCGAGATTTTATTGACACTAATTTTTCAAAACCCTGTAGTCAGGCTGCTCAAGCTTCAAATTCGACAATTTCGTCCGAAAATACTTCACAAAGATCTATTAATATTAGGTTACCCGCTATTAACTTGCCCTCCTTTGAGGGTGACTATGAAAATTGGTTGTTCTTTAGGGATACATTTAATTCCATCATTCATACCAACACAGAACTTTCCAATATTCAGAAATTCCACTATCTAAGATTATCTTTACAAGGTATTGCCGCAGAAACAATACGTAACCTGGACATTTCTGAGGGAACATATGAAACTGCGTGGGAGTTACTAAAAGACAGATTCGAAAACAAATCTCTTCTTGTCAATAATCACATTAAAAAATTATTTAACCTATCAAATGTTTCAAAAAATTCGCATCATGATCTACGCACTTTACTTGATGGTTTCCAAAGACATTTACGCTCTCTTGAGTCCTTAGACTTAGACACAACATCTTGGGATGCCCTTATTATATATTTAATTACCACGAAACTAGACAATGCCACACACAAAGAATGGGAACTGTCAATTAAAGACGATAAGAACACATTACCCACTTTGAGTAGCTTAACTGGATTTTTAAAAGGTAAATGTAGAGTCTTAGAATCTATTAATCATCAAGAAGAAAAATCTCGTCCCAAATTTTCATCTACAGGCAATCCCAAATCCAAGAATTTCTTGTCAACAAATAATTCTTCCAACTGTTCTTTATGCAAACAAAAACATCTAATTTACACTTGTCCTGATTTTCTCAAATTAGAAACGTCATTAAGACATAATGAAGCAAAACGCTTGCGACTTTGCATAAATTGTCTTCGTAGTGGTCATTTCACTAAGGAATGCAAATCTTCCGGGTGTCGTAAATGTGGAAAAATACACCACACACTTTTACACTTTCAAAGTAACTCACAAAAGCTTACTGAAACCAGTAATCAAACCATCAGCAGTTTACCTTGCTCTAGTCCAAGTACATCAGAAGGGTCTAATGCACTGACAGCACGTAACATTTCGTTTGAGCACAACTCTACTACTTTGCTGTCAACTGTAAAAATTAACGTCTTTGACATCTCAGGTAATGAACACGAGGCTCGTGCACTTCTAGATAATGGCTCTGAAAGTAATTTCATTTCCCAGCGCCTATTAAATCTTCTAAGGTTGCCTACAACCAAAACACATTTTTCTATTTCTGGTATAAACAAAACAAATTCTATTGTAAGCTACAGAACATCGGTCAAATTTAAGTCCAAAACTTTAAACTTTTCTCAAGTAATTTCTTGCTTAGTGCTTCCTGAAATTGCAGGAAATTTACCTTCTGTCACATTCGATAAGAGAACACTTAATATCCCTTCTAATATTACTCTGGCTGATCCAGACTTCAATATTTCCTCTCCTATTGATCTTCTTATCGGTGCAGACATCTTCTGGAATTTAATTTGTATTGGTCAGATTAAATTATCACCTGGACAACCGATTCTTCAAAAAACTAAACTTGGATGGATTATCTCAGGTCCATTAATTCCAAACAATACCCTTGCAGCCAGAACTTCATGCCATTTGTCGACCATAAATAAGTTAAGCATAGAAGATCAACTTCAAAAATTTTGGGAAATTGAAGAATGTCCAAAAACAAAATTTTTGTCTAACGAAGAACTTTCTTGTGAAGATCACTTCTTAAAAACAACCTCTCTTAATTCTTCTGGTAGGTTTGTAGTATCACTTCCCTTGAAATCTTCCGTCGACAATCTAGGCGACTCTAAGACTACAGCAACAAAAAGGTTCTATTCTCTCGAAAGGAAACTTAATGCGAATTTTGAATTAAAAGATGATTACACTCGATTTATCGATGAATATTTATCCTTACACCATATGTCCGTTTCACCCTTTGAAACCACAGGCTATTAGTTCTTTCTTCCTCATCATTGTGTCTATAAAGGCAATAAAATTCGTGTTGTTTTTG